TTCTAGTTTCAAAGTTGAAAATATTAAGAGTGGCATCTGCTCGCTGTGTTCCAGACTTGACTCACTCTGTAAATTCCTAACAGACTAACAGGACATCATTTTCAGCTGAACGTTTTCCACAGCTTTGTGTCCATCTCCTCCAATCACCCATTAACAACAATCCAGTGTGGACCCTTCAAATGCTAAGCGCACAGAGCTGGAGCATGATGTGCCTGGCTGCGTTTGTGAGGGGCCTCCTCCCTTCCACTGCCAGTTAATGTTAGCCGTCACTGTGCGGAGTGTGCGCATGTCAAGTCTGATAAAAATCAAAATCACTGCACATTTGCATGGGTGAACATGAAGAGACTTGGGGTGGTCACATACCTGCCCTCTAAAACTACACCTACACTTAGGATTCATGATATTGTCAAGTGTTTTCTCAAAGCCATCAGGATCATCACACAAAATATCAGAGAAACCAACAGACAGAAAGAGCCGAACGAACTCATCGAAACTTGGACCAGATTTATTTTGACATTCTTCCCGTAGCTGGTTCTCAGGCCTGCCTGATCATTCCTCTCCCGGTATTTCAAATAAACCCATCGCCGAGCCGTTCCTCAAATAAGCAGGGCAGGACCCGACGATGCACCTCGCTAACACCAGATTATGTTGCTAAACTCAAACACAGTGGGAAAAGAATCATAAGACGGACTGGACAGAGAAACTGAGGTTTCTATCAGGAGATTTAGAACAGCCTCGGCCACTCGGAAGAGGTCAGAGTCCTCAAGTATCCGTCCAGCTCTTGTTCCTGGGAACATAAAATCCCTGCATTTATGACGTCATTCCTTACGTTATTCCATGGGCCAGTAGGCATGGACGCTCCTCTTGAAGAGTCAAGTTTCTCTCTCTCACAGAAAACTCTTGAATGACTACTAGAGTGAACCACAGAGTTGAAGTCAGTGAAAACGTTTGTCCCCCTGTTGTTCTGACATTGTCTCTACAATCAACCATAAAATTTAGAACAGGAGTTTTATATTTTCTACTGTCACCAAACATTTCACCGTAACATACAGTCGATCCATGGAGGGATTACTGAGCGGGCCTACCAGGTAGGCCCAGGGGCCCAAAGTGTCCTGGGCCCCCTGGCCTACACTTGCAAAATGTCACTCAAATCAACAAGTACCAACCAGGAAGAGACTCAAAATGACCACAAAAAAATTCAAATGAGCTGCGAAGGGACACAAAATAACTACAAACGGGGCAAAACAATCACAAAGAAACAGACAGGGACAGATGGGACATAAGCCAAACTACAAACACAAAGTACACGTCAAATAAATTTTTCCCAAAGATGTTTTCTGTCAGTTTAGCTCATTCTTATCACGCTGCTTAATGTGAGAGAGTTTGTTTTTCTGATAAGTTTGGTTTTAATCAGTTATTTGATGCAATAAAAAGCGGGTTTGAAGTCATGACTGACAGCTGTGTGTACCAATTTGTGTACTCATAGTGGGAGCTCGATACAGAGATTGCTACTCTGGCTCCAAATGGCGACAGTCTGTGGTTGGCACATACACCTAAACCACACCTCTAGCTGCCAGTGGCTCCTCACAGGATGCTTATCAGAACATAGATTACTTGAAGCCTGACAAGATGGACTGTCATGTGATCTTGTGATTCCACAATTGTTGCTTGATATTGCAAGGAATCCAGCTGTCGTGCAGAGGAGCTTCATCCCTGCAGGACAGTAAGAATCTCTCTCTCTGGGTCATCACAAACTCATTTGCATTGCCCAGGTGGAGTGCATGGCATGCAACCAAAATGACTAAATCAGAACACCATACTGTTCATTAAATGTGCACAGGAGGAACACCTGGCTAAAGATCTTTGTCAAAAATAAACCATTTCAATTACTTAAGCGTACTACAGATGTTGGTTAATGGGGCTAATTTATTGTGCACTGATCCTTGCAAATGACTGTTCTTGCTACAACTTAATTTCTTCAAGATCTCCTAATAGATGCCAAAAGGTGCTCTAAGGCCTTAAGAAACTGAGGTGCACAAAGTGTGCAGATTTACTTACCAGGCACAGAAATAAAATATTAATTCATGCATACTTTGCAACACAATATCTGAACTGACCGGTCCCATCCAGCTTCCCACACGTCATCTTTTTATCAGCAGAGGGAACTCAGATATCACGGACTGGACTTGAGTCAGAGTCAAGTCTTGTTTGTGACGATTTTGAGGGTGGATTTACTCAGAACAAACTAATTCCTAAGACTTGCCGTCTGATCTTTTTTTTTTAAAAAAGTGTGCTCAGTTGTTCTGAATGATTTAACTTGAAAGACAAGGACAAGATACAGACATCGTTGAAATGCAGGGATTTCTGCGAACACTTTCATCTTTCCACAAAGGCATTAATAAAGATGCAGCCATTTGCACATCCAAAATGTGACAGAGGTAACTCACCTGCTCAGTCGCTCTGTGAAATTGGCTTGCTTGTCCGTTGGTGGAAAGGTGCTGGGGAGGATTCAGATGCTGTTTGACCATTAAAGCACTTCAGTTGGAGCGTACTGCCACCTTTAGTCCTGATTTGATAAAAATCACAAGACTTTAATGAGAATGCAACTCTACTGGGGCTTTTTGGCCTTTACTTGAAATGAATTGACATCCTTCCCAGGCCCAAAGATTAAAATTTACCTCATGAGACAGTTGGCGAAACAAACTCTTCAAATGCTCATTTTGACCTAGCGTGGTAGGAAAAGCACAGTTGTTACTAATAACACTAACAATGGCTCTGTTCTATTTGTGTCCCATTAAGTCATGACAGTGTGACAGCGAGCCAGCATGCAGGATCCTGAAACTCAAGTAGCTACATGGAATTCAACAATGGAGGAAAACCAGGAAAGGAGGAATCTCCATTAGAAATGGATAGAGGCTCTTTGTCCCAAAGTGCCTCACAGACCACGGTAAACTCAACATGCCACAGCCAACAGGCCTGGCTACTACATTCCACTGAAGCCTACAAACTCTATTTTGCCATGCAGCTGATTGGCAGTCACCATCAGTTAGGTGGTAAGCAGAGAAAGCCTCAGAGTCTAAGCTAGACATCTCCAGGGCCTCATTATAAGCCTCATTCGCCAGCAGCACAGACTCTTTCGTCTGAGTGCCCAGGAGTAGCAAGAGGGCCCACTTCATCAGAAGCAGCCAGGGATACATTCTTCCTCCACTAGGTCTGTTCGGGACTGAATAAGTCTTTGTGAGGCGTGATATACTGTAGAAGTGACAGCTTGCCTCAAATCCATTTACAATCAAGGGCAAAAATCTCCATGTAGTTTCTGATTCAACTTTAATCCCAGACAGCACCACACCTTTATCTCATAATTACCCACAAGGAAATACACAGGGATTGTATCAGTTTGGTTAGGAATTAGAGGAAAGGCAGGGAGAACGCCCATGCTGTGCGTATCCTGACAGCCGTCCAGACACTGGATTACACCGTTAGAAAAGTGGAACTATAAACAGGCCGAGGCAGATTCTGGGACTCACACGTCCATGTAGCATCAGAGGAAGTAAGGAAGTGATTTCCAACCAGGGCTCCCTCAACTCTACAGCTGCCTGGATATGTGGACATCTTACAGTAACTCAACTAATTGAAAGCAAATATTTTATTTAAGAATATATACCCATACTGGATCTATAACGTGTTGCATTTAAACATGTAGATAGCAAACAAACAGAAAAGTGAACAGTTAACTAAGGTAATGGATAAATTGTTTTAAATAAAAAGCTACAAGTAATGGATAAATCATTTGGATAGTCAGATAAAAGCAACATGATTAAATATGCTAAAGTAACAGATAAGTTGTTCCAATAGCTAGCTAAAAGTAGTGGACAAGTTGCTGCAACAGTTAGCTAAACTTAATGGACAAGTTGTTACAATGGTCATGTCAAAGTAATGGACAAATTGTTACAGTAGTTAGAGAAATATTACGGACAAATTGCTCTAGTAGTTAGCTGAACATAATAGACAAATTGTTATAATAGTAAGCCAAACATAATGGAAAAATTATTACAATAGTTGGCTAAATGTAATAGACAAATTGTTACAAAAGTTAGCTACATGTAATGGACAAATTGTTACAATAGTTGGCTAAACTCAACGGACAAATTGTTACAATAGTTAGCTTAAAGTAATGGAAAAATTGTTACAACAGTTGGCTAAATGTTATGGACATATTGCTGCTACAGTTAGCTAAAGGTAATGGACTAAAATGGTGACTGCTTACCATGTTCATGAGAACAGCCTGGTTGTGGTATTCAGGACCTCGTAAATGGAAATTTTCAGAGAGCTCAGAGTTCAAGAGTTTGTGTACATAACTTCCCGTGTTGTAAACACAACTTCACAAATTCCATCTGAGCTCAGTCGCTAAAAGCAACGGATAAACTGCTGAAATAGTGAGCTAAAAGCAAGTGGTTAAAATTGCTAAAGTAATTGTTAAAAAATCAAAAAAAATTGTTACAATGGTGAGCTTAAAGTAATGGACAAATTGCTACAGTTAACTTAACGTAATGGGCAGATAGTTGAAGCTAAAAGTAGCAGATAAAGGGTTGAAACGTTCAGTTCCTGCCTCTTCAGGTTTGGCAGCAAAATTCAAAACATGACCAGACTTTAACATTAGCAGTTCATTGTGTGAAAAGATTATAGAAACAATATCCAATTTTATACTAACACTGATAGAGAACATCCACTTTAAAAGCAATTCCGGCAAACGTAGCATATCAAATAGGTTATGTTAATGAAGGGGTGGAGTTCATCTGATAGGGTTGTGTGGGTAAATCTGACAAAAGAATAATGGAACCAGTGTTTAATGGTAATATAGCCAGTGCTTCAATACTATACAACTTGTAAAAAGGGACTGACAGTGAAACAGTTATTCTCCCATTTAAAATTAAGGCTAGGATTTTTTTTTACATTTTCGTTTCCTTTGCGAAAGATACTGCACTCAAAGCACAACCTTCTGAGTTTTGTTCCAAACTTGATTTAATTTTTAAAAAATTAAATGAATAATATTAACAATACATTTCCTTAATCATCTGAACAGCAGTTAGAACACACACGACAAAACAATCAGAAAGCAGAGAATACATTTTTAATAGACATCATTTTCATAAGCTCATCTATCTTTTGTTAATATCGGAAAACTGAAATAATGTTCAAAAGGCACACGCAACATCCAACGATAAGAAGAACATAAAATAATTAAGCAACTATGGGCTGAATTTTTTCAGTTAAATTATGACTAATAACCACGGAGAGCTACTGAATGCATTCCTGAAAGTCTGGGATTTCTTTATTTTTCTTCAGTGTTCCACTCCAAATGTGTTGGAAAACTTTCTGTTGGCACATTTATTATATTTGTTATCTGAGGATGGTGACAGGCCATTAACAGTGTCTATTAAAAAGTGACTTTGTTACCAGTGAACATTAATCATTTTGGAAGCGGGCAACTGTTTTTAGGCCGTAGGGGAAAAAAATTGAAATAAAAAATGGTTTTATGCCCATCAGATCATTAAAAAGAACAAACTTTAATTCTTCACTTCTTGGTTCTACATTAATCACCTTATCAGTGCTTCCTTGGTGTTAATGGGGTTTCATTAAAAGCATACCCTTTAGAACCAACCATCAACCAAATTGACACAACACTCAAAAAACACGTACTTTATTTCAAATTGCTGCAACAGGGGCACTAAAAACAAACTGCAGAGAAACACACGGCCCCCCGAGTTAAACTCACTTCGATAGAAAATATTCTCATTTAAAAGTCATAATTAAAATGAAAGCACAGGAGAACATATGATGGACGACATGATTTGGAGCACAGCGTTATGTAGCTTAGTCCAACCGACAAAGAAAAAAAAAAAAAAAAAGGAACACTTATTAGATTATAAGAGCACAGTTTGGTGCGGCTTTCCAACCTTTTCAAAAAATAGAACATTTCGTGAACTTTCAGGAATAAATTAAAAAAAAATAAAATAAAGGACACCGCCCTGTCCCCACCAAAAAAAAAATAAATTACTGTTTGAACTGTGACACTTTGAGATTATGGGGTGTGCAAGAAAAATAAACACATTTCCAGAGAAAAGCAGTGACAACACACATCAATCAACCTACACACACACACACACACACACACACACACACACACACACACACACACACACACACGCGAGTAGACAGAAGAAGCTGTGGCTATTGATTAACTCGACTGACTGATTCACAACACATTGATAAACTGACAGTGCAAATTTTCAGACGGCTGCAGGGAACTAAAATAAGAGCAAAGAATTTACACCAACAGGACAAACTTTCGACATTTTGTACAATTCTTGAATTCAGTGTTGGATCTGTTCTTGCTTTTTTTTGTGAAGTATTTTTGGATAAACATGGAATGAAAGCTCCAGAGAAGCTGATGAGGAAAATAATAACTACTTTTTGGATTGAGCACTTGATAGAAGATTAAAATAATGCCTTTAAACGACTATTAGTTATTGTAAGATTAATGTAATTTTGCCTTCTTTGTCTGAACCCTTCATCAAACATATTTTAAAAAAAAAAAAAAAAAAAAAAAAAAAAAAGCTTAAAACAATAACAGGTTGATAACTACATAAAAACACTCTGGAGCACCATTTTTATAAACATGAATTGAGACAGAATTACGATCCAAGAACAAAAATTAGAAGCCAAAAGTTGATTCTGGCCGTTCTAAAGGCAGCAATCCCGACTGGTGGCACTAAGTTTGGACTTAAATGTGGACACGAGTCAATCCAGTCAACCGACTACAGTGCATCATGAACGTGTTTCTCATCTACGGGGTTATAATGAGTGACCTCTGACCTCTCCTGTGGCGGGTCAGGTCACCCTGGTCCACTACACCTGTACGATGTGAAATGCTTACTTTCCAATGTGTGTGAATTCTCTCAGGAAAAACGTAGAGAAGCCTGGAAGAAGCAAAAAAAGATAAAGAGCGCTCTGTTTGCAGGCGTTCCCTTCCCCCTGTGGGTTTCTCATCCCGCAAGGCTAGTCGAGTGTTTTTGACGACACCCTGGTTTTACGGTACCTCACAGTCCTTTGGGTTCGTCAGAGTTCTCAAAGACTCGGCAGAAGTTTCCTGAAATGAATCCAGTCACAGGATACGGAAGGATATTGAAGTGTCTGTTAACTGGATAGAAGGAGTTACAGAGTTCCTGCTCCTGTTGCTTTGTCTGTTTTTTTTTTCTCTTTTCTACTTCACCATTCGGCATCCCCAATGGCTTTGGAGAAGACGTAGTCTCTCCCGTTCAGATTCATGATCCCGTCCTTCAGGTGGAATTTCCATTTGTTCTTACTTCTGTGAATCTGGGGAGCAAAGAGACGGAAATTAATGTTGTGGGCGTCAAGGACAGATGGACAAGTGGACAAAGTCTCTACTGTCTTTAACCCATGCACACAGAAGACTCAGCGGGACACATACACACATATTAACCAGTGTTGACCGATACATCTTAATAAGCCCCGGTTAGCATTTAATAGTTTTGTGATACACTTTGGGCTGTAGGATACTTGTGATCCAACCCTGCACTCAAGTCCGATACAGCGCTAATATTCAAAGTAAAGGTTCTTACACACTTTAACAGGATATGGAAACTGCTGTGAAACAAACTATTTAAGAGAAATTTGGCACTTGCCCATCCTTCAGTCAACAGAAGCCTTTGCAGTGAAACTGTATCTGACAGTAACTGTTCTACTGAACAGACATCGCAGCAACGTTTTAGCTAAATCTCTCTGTGTAGTGAAACTGTTATGCTGTGGCTTTTGTTTGTACTGTCTCCTTGGTTATAATCAAATATGGAGGAGTCTGATATTCAGTTTTTACAGCAGGTACATTTTGTTTTATTGGTTTTAAACCTGGTGAAAATTAGCATTAGCATTATCATAGTTAACCATAGCTGGATATGCACAATGCTAACCAAGCTAGCAGCTAGTCTTAGGGTTAGCTCCACCCTCTCATCCAAATATGGTCACTTCTGGCTACAAAATACAAATGACGAGGGCAGAGCACAATTTAAATCAAAACGATTTACATATATTGAAAAAAAATTGCCTCAACATGTGAATAAGCTGACTCTGGTAAGCAGTGATGCAGTGTGTATGACCAGGGCTTTTATTGTGAAAGGCAAGAATGGAATTAGTAAAGCTAATGTGCTGCCAGTGACTGTGAGAGGCAATTAAGAGTTTGCAGCCTTGGTTCAAACTGCGAGGACTTATTTCATTACCTTCCTAAGTATGGGTGCAACGCTAGCTAGTTTGGCAATCAGCTGATGTTCCCTTCGGTAAACAGTGCCGTAAAACTAGAAGCACCCAAGACGGTGAGTTTTGCGGCAGTGTTGTGACAGGCACGTGTGTGTCCAAGTGTCTCACACAGACAGCAGAGAAGCAGCTTAAGAGCAGCACAGCAGTGCGCCCCTGAATGACACTAAAATGCTTCAGAGACTCTCATTTCTTTATTATATGACAATTTTAGTACAAACATTTACCTGCTAGCGTGGTGGATAGTCTACTGAGATATACTCACCAAACAGAAAATAAATATTTCAACATGCAGGTTGATTGAGTGAAGTTGTGCGGTATTCACTTCTTACCTTGTCGTACTGGCACACCACTACATTCTCTGTATCAAACAGCTCCTGGTCCTCCTCATCACTGACATCATCCCCACTGTTCAGTGGCTCCTGACGAGGAAACAAAATCAGAAAGTTACCCAATCTTACCTTATCTTCTCTCTTTACATTAAAACTCTCAGAGTTGCTGACTGTGGTGAGCTGAACGTCCCATTGATTATATTAAAGCATAAACACAGAAGTAAATGATCCATATTTGTTATCTGGGGAAAAGATGATATTATATAGTAAGACATAGTTTATTTTTTTAATAACAGAAGATATATGATAGATTATATTGTTTTTTGTTGGTTTAACTTTGTTGTTCAAACACTGATCCACTAAAAGCGATTCGAATTGTGTCTGCTGAACCTGACAACATCTTATGCTGCAGTGCAGCTGCCATTTAACTACATACTACTTCAGTTTCCTCTATGCCCACCTCTTCAACCTGCCCATCCTCGCCCCCATCTTTGTCCTTCTCCTCCTCATCATCCTCATCATACTCCTCCTCCTCATCCTCGTCCTCTTCTGAGGAGGTGTCTCCGGCGCCGTCCGCCTGCAGTATCATGGGAGGCTGCTGTGCCTGAGGCTGGGGTTGAGCCTGGGCTTGCTGCTGGGCCTGTGGTGGGGCCTGGGGCGCAGCTGCACCCTGGGCCTGCTGAACCTGCTGGACCTGAGCTGTTGCTGCCTGACCAGGCTGCTGCGCCATTGCTGCCTGCATCACCTAACGGGAAGAAAGGAGAAACAGAAGAGGAACAGTGATTGTCGGCTCATTAGTTTCATTAACTGCTTAGAGTTAAAAGAACAGAATAAATATATCATATAGATACGAGGAAAAACAACTGTAAATCAAGCTTCCTGTCTCTCTTTGTGTATTCTAGGGATCATATTAACACCCCCAGCGAACTTCAGCCCAAAATACACTGATACAAATCAATATTATGATAGAACAAAGAACGCAGAGAGACGTGGTGGAAACTTAGCATTGGAGCAAACTCCTAAGAGCAGAGCAAACTTTGAGACAAGAGCAATTAAATGGGTAATGAAGGAGCTGAAGAAGTGCTGACCTGTGTATTGCCTTGGACTTTGTTTCCTGAAGCTAAGACGATCTGCTGCGGCTGGATGATAACTCCTGTTTGCTGGGGCAGGCCTCCCTGCAGAGGAGCCAGGACCTGCACAGACAGCACACAGGAAGAATTCACATTCTCTCACAAGGTCGAGGATAAATATTAGCATATTGTCTTTGGAGGCTTCGAAGAGAATTTCACAAAAGTTATTCCTTTAAAATCTCGACTGACCTTTCTATCTGTAAGTTCTGCTGAAAAGGAGGAGTCTGGTTGCCTGATATCAGACAGAATTTTCAACTTGTTAAATTCCCGTTTCAGTCTTCAGTCTGACACTGTGTCCACTAACAGATTTCTGTGAGGAAGGGGAATATGATTTTCTCTAACCAGTCACTAGTGACCAATGTAGCTACCTGAACCTAACGACAATGTAAGTCCAAACTGATGTGTTGTCATGCCAACACAACTGATTTGCCGAGTTTAAAGAGTGGAGCGGAGCAATGGGAAAAAATCTACGATGTCGGGCACTGTTGAGAACACGTTGATTTAGAACAGCCCCGATGGCAGTATCGTCTCTATAACTCCCACCATGATTGTTATTACTCCTCATAAGCTCCAGCACACCTCTTGACAACGCTGGACAACTGCATTAGTCCTGCAAATAGTGCCAACTGGTTATTCGTTAAATTGTTTTAACCTTGGAACTGCTGTTTTATGTCATGATGCCAAACCAGAATCAGTCAACTCAAAGTCTGGACCCAGGAAAGGAGTCTGGATCATCATATGGTGATGGATTTTAACTTTATTTTACTTTTGCTGGTTCATTTCAAGAAGTCACTGGTATAAAGCTCATGGGAAAAGATGACGTTCAGAAGTGTCCAGATTTTCCAGAATTAATTTTTTCATGGCATTTCTTTTCCTGAATTTCAAGTTTTTGTTTCCAGAGGCTGGTTCTTCCACTGCTTCAACGCCAGAGGACCCACAGCTTACTAGTCATGGATTGATTGGACACAGAAGGTCAATTATTTTACACTATAAGCTGCTGATTGTTAGAAGAACACAGATAAACAAGATACATGCAGCCATGTTGCACATTCTAAAGGCCTTGCCTCTGTTTACCAAAATTAGATATTCGTACCTGTAGGCATGTCACGATACCAAACATTTGGTAGTCGATACTAATACCAGTGAAAATGCATGATTCTTATTCCTAATTAAGTATTACAGTAACAAAACAATAAATCCAATCTACTTGAACATAATCCTGCATTGTTTAAAATACGAGATCAACCACATAAAGCACTTTGTAACACTGTGTTGAAAAGTCCTTTATGAATAAAGTTCATTATTATTACAAAAAAACAAATACCGCCATGTTTTCAGAATTTTGTCATCAACTTATTACCAAAAATCAGTTCTCATAACTTCTCCACCTACCTGTCTAACAGGGCATACCTGTTGTATGACCGGTGCCTGCACACCACCAGGCTGCATCTGCTGCTGCAGGAGGATCTGCTGCTGAGGCTGCTGGATGATGTACTGAGCCCCATTGGGTGCACGAACCACCTGCAGGATCTGACCTGAGAGGACGGAAACAGAGGTGACGTGAGTGCTGTGAGAGTGGATGCATTTATCAATTAATTTGTACAAACTGATGCACAAATAAACATGTGTCCGTGTGTGTGTGTGTGTGTGTGTGTGTGTGTGTGTGTGTGTGTGTGTGTGTGTGTGTTTCACCTTGGCTGGTGATGAGCTGTTGGTATGGGGCGACCCCTGTGGGCAAAGCAAGGGTTGCTGCGGTAGCTGCTGCACTCTAGAGGAGGAAAGGAGAACACACACACATGTGACTGAAACAAGACAGTCAGGTACACACTCACGTTCACACACGCAAACAACAAGTAAAACTTCTGTCTGAACGCACCCAACAGCAGGACTTTAGGGTTCAAGAACGTGGGGGAAAAAAGACTGTTTTTAAAAAGTTTTAAGGTTGTGAAGATGTAAATGCTCTATAGGCGCCTTTTAAAACACACACTTTAGCGTTAAGTACATTTCTCTGGAGAGATTTTAATATTTTTTGAAATAGAGCACAACATCTTCCCAATCAAAGAGCTAATATTTATATTCCCTTGGCTGCTGTGATAAAAGCAGCCTTTCCATATTTGCATTCATTCATTTCACCTGCCAGGTTTGACGGTGAAAGGTTAGAAATGTGCAAGTGAAGCTTAAATACCGTGTTTGAGAATTAAGACAAAAACAGTTTACTAATACAGCACAGATGCAAGCCTTGACATCAACAGATGGCTTGCCGAACAGAAGTGTTGTTGAGAGAAGAAGTACAGAAGGGAGGAAGTGTGGACACTCGACTGTGCGAAATTAAAACTGATGAAGGGAAATAAGTGTGAGAGACACAACAGGAGCATGTAAGAGGATGTATTATCCCCGGCTTTATCTCCACTGTAATCCAGGCTACTAGACAACTCTCTAAAGGTCCTTCCTCTCCTCTACTCTCTTGTTTTTCACATCCTCCTGCCCCTCCATCTGTCTGCTACTACACCAGTGCACCTGCTGTGAGGAATCAGCCTGCAGAGACACATTAAGATCCTCTTCTTCTTCTTGGCTGGCTATGAAATATGTGCTTGGAAAAAAATCCTCCCTTTCTCTCAATAAAAGTATATTACACTAAGAGAGTGCTTCGGTAAGTAAACTAGTCTCTGTAAATCTGTATACAGTGGAGATCAGTGATTGCTGCATTGCATTACTGTTCTCTATTAAGCAGGAAACTATAATTAAATGCACATTATCTACTCACCATCCCTGTTGCACTCATGTGCTGTAGAATCTTGGAATCCTGAACAATGACTTGCTGCTGGGGAGCTGCGGAGACAGACGTGTTTATGTCATAATATGTACCAAGATAATATCCTAAAAAGAAAATGATGTAACAGAAAAATAGAAGTGTGAACACTGATTTGAAATACTATCTCCCAAGCACTTATAAAAAGTTTTCCCACATAACCTGATGTATTAATGTACTAACTGGCTGACAAGCGTCTTGGATCCGTCATAACCGTCTTCTGGTTTCCCTTTTTGAATGACAAATACAGACTACTGCCACCTGCTGCTATGGAGTTATTTCATCTCGCGTAGGTGCTGAGTGTACATGCTAGTTGGCCGTTTGCAGTGCGTTCAAGTGCAACTTTTTGGCCAAGACACAGACGACATGATGTGATGTAACAGTCAGCCTTCATTGCCACAAGCTCTTTGATGTCAGTTTGTTGTGTTTGGGCTTTCAAACTTTCCTCACTCTCTGTGCTTACACTGTTAGCAAACAGCCTGTGGGAGTCAAGGGAGGGGAGGGCATCAGCGCTGTAACCAACATTGCCATTTTTTGCTGATGGCTGAGTGGATATTTCCATTTGAGAAGACCGCAAATTAATAAAACTCCTTAATTTCAGTAGGAATGCTGTACATGATTTAGACGATTCGTGTTCTTTTTGCTTGTTGTTGTTTACCACCACAGTGCTGACCTACCTTGCTGCTGCTGAGGGGGCAGGATGACCTGCTGGGCCTGCGCTGGCTGAGTCACCTGCTGGACTTGTTGGACCTGCTGTACCTGCTGCTGTACCTGCTGCTGCTGCTGCTGCTGCTGAGCGGCCTGCAGGGCTGCCTGCTCTTCAGTGTGGAAGCCCTCCACTGCCTTGGACTGCAACAGTTTGTTTTCCCATAGCTGAAACATCAGGGAGACAGAAGAGTGATATTTTTGTGATGTACCACTTTCATTACTGCCCACACACACTAGACGACTCTTGCAAAACTTTTTAGTCACACACTAAGGCTGCTTTCAGACCTAGAGTTGTCTTGCTTTGGTCTGAATCAGGGACTAATGTTGTTCCAAAGTTGTATAATTGCCTAGAATTGGTTCGTGTTCTCACAGCAGCAATTACAAGCGGACCAGATCAAATGCCTTGTGTGAGAAAGCTGCTCTTGATTGGTCAGAAAAATCCAGGAAGTAAAGCAAACGTTGAAGAAGAGTAGATAAATGTGACACTTTGTAATGTCACAATGGAGGGACAACTACGCAGGTTGATTTTAGTGCTGCTCATCGTGGACTATATTGCTGTCATTGTTCATTTTAGTCAAACCATACAGTTTGAAAACGAGGCGCGGCTCCAACTAGAAAACAATGTTTTGATGCATTGGATGTGCTGAATGTGCATATTAAGGCAGTACAGGAGGAGGTGCACATTAATAATCCTCCAGGACTGTAACATGCTCATGTTTAACCCAAACAATGTGTCATGTGACTGCAGTTGGTTCAGATCCAGGTCGGAACACGTTCTCACCACAAACCAACCGCACCAGAGTTTGTTTGTAACCGGACCGAGACCACCTCTTCAAGGAGGTCTCAGTCCGGCTGTTTTGGTGGGTTCACACCTGCCCAAACGAACCGCACTTAGAGGTCTTGAACTTGAGTTTGACTAACCCGAACCAAACAGGGAAGGTGTGAAAGCACCCTAAGATTTTGCAGGGTCACTATTTGCAAGACTGCAATTAGATTCCTTACATGATTAGTTCCCAATCTGCTCCTGGTGGAAAATGTTACACCAAACTCCCTTTAAAATTTTGACATATTAACGATTCTTTACTTGTCTTCAAAAACACAAAACTCTAGAAACACAAGATAAAAGGAGTCATATGTCGACAGTATTCCTGTCAATTCAGCATCAATAGAAAGATAAACTTTATTTATATTAAAACTTTACATTTTGGATTTTGTCACCTCATCACCACTACCAGCTTCCATTAATTAGCTGCGCTATTTTAGTGAGGAAAGACTGTGGGAATGAGAGGTGAACCGTTTCAAAAATTAAGATTTCTGACTTCAGTAAGTGCTGGTTGGTGGATCAAATGCATGCACAATAAAACACAGACTATTTTTCAATCCACAACTCCACCCACACAGATATTCACTTCAATACTATATGGGGGAAATTCTCAAACGAGAAGCTGACATTTTGTAAGTCATAATAAAAGCTCCAAATCAGCTACATCTGGAGGAGGAAGCACACCTCGCTATCCTTCTGCACCAGTGACATTTCCCCTATTGTGGTTGTACACAGGAAACAATGCTGCTGGGGGACAGTTACCGTTTTCAGCTCCAGGAGCACTTGCTCATCCACTCCCTCATCCAGGAACAGCTCTCTCACCTCGTTGATCACATCCTCAATCACAGACTTGTATAGTTTAGGCTACCAGGAGGCAAAAGAGACATTTTCATTAGTGTTTGCTAAGGAAGAACAAACAAAATGAAAACATATGTTATAATAAATGTCTACCACTTGGGGATTACTTTTACATAAACCATATGGTGTGTGGTATCCAGAAATATGTTTTAATAGGAAGACATAACCAATAATGCTTCACAGCTGCTACAGCAGCAGCAAAACATTACATGTCTAACAGACCATTGATATAAATTATTTATTGCCTTGCCAAATACATAACTTGGTATAACATGGTAATATTTGGTGTATATCAGTTAGAAATACGTGGCTCAACTCTGATACTGTTCCAAGCGACATAATCCCGGGATTTATTTTAACTGTGAGCACGTCACAGTGTGGCTTGTTATGCTAATCCGTATGAAGCACTGGGAGAAACCAGCACGGTGTAACTGTTCTGTGTGTCCCCCGGGATACCGTGGCATACATGGCGCACACACCAACAGCTAACCCGTTTAAAGCTCTACAACGGCCGCATTTCAGCACCGGAAACAAGCGACACAATGGAGCCCGACAGGCCACCGCACTGCGCTCACTGCACCGCATTGTCCCCAATGTCCGCAGCACGGACCTCGGTCTCGCCTTCCCTCCCCCTCGGCCTGTCTGCTCCTCCACTATTTAAAGCACAGTGTGGTGTTTATATGTAGAGCCGGTGACGTAGCGTCGAGTAGCACCTTCCCATCCCGGGCAGTCTATATTAGAGAGCCAATATGGCTGTATAAAACCAGGCAGCAGAAAGGAGGAGGGTCAGAACCGGAGCGAGGGGAGACGTGGAAGCCATTTTACGGAGCGGCAAACTGCGCGCTCGACCGCCCCGTACTCTGAGCGATGTGTGGCGGAATGTGGAGGATATTTTCGGTGTAATTTCGTCTTGAGTGCTCAGCTTTGACTAAACTAGTGTGGCCTGGTCGGTGGGCAGCGGGACAGAGCTGTTATGAGATGGGTAAAGGTGGCGGTTTGGGGCTAACCTGCCTTCTGGTCGTGGAATGGTGGACAATGATGAGGCGTTAGGCTGAGCAGCGTTGACGGTTTTCGGCTAAGGACTTTTAATTTGTACAAAATAAGATCTATATATACGCAGTGAATGGTGGCGAGGTGCTTTGCGAACATTTACACCTTTATAAATAATGCAAAAATAACAATTTAGCTCATATTCACCAGTTTTTCTCATCGACACAAGCAGTTATTTGACTCTTCATTAAAGCAACAGCACAAACACAAACCTTTGCTACAAGCCATTTTTACACATAATATCTGACGCTATCACGAGCCAACTCATGTGAGCTTCAACCTGACAAACAGCCCATAACTTCCAGCTTTAAAAACCCAATCACTGACCCTACACTTTAACGCCATTTTCACCCATTTCCAGATTTCCACAGCCCCTCTACCGCTAGCCATTGCTCCTACCAGATGGCTTTATCTGAGAGAACAGTCTAGTTTCGAAAACTGGTTAAAATGGCCGATTGACTCCACCAAGTCTTCATTTTATTTCATACCACAGTGTAGTGTTTGTTAAAGCAGATTCAGTTCACTTAAATAAAATTAAAAGTCAGCCTCTTTCCATTATCTTTACCCCCATTTTCCCCCGCTGACAATCCTTAGAGATTGATCCTTACCACTGGGTTCGAGTTAGCCGAGCTCGCCATTATACGCGTAGTGTAAAAACCACACGGCAATAGGCGAGAAATAAGAGCCAAAAATTACGAAAAACGACTTAAAACAACTGGGAACGATATTTTAAAACAGCCGGCATTACTTTTGTAAATAAAACACAGTTTTAGCGGTCTTATTTACAATCCCGGGCTGCGAGTCCCCAGCCGTCCTCCTTCCGTCGTTGTCCTGCTTTATATACTGAGCGATGGAGCTGCGAGTGCGCGAGACATAGGGCAGGGTCAAACCGCACATCGCGCGAGATTTCGCGCGGCGTATGATGACCAAGCAGTACAGCTGCTGCTGCTGCTGCTGGGAAATGTAGTGTGAATGTGGTAAGGCTGTAAATAAATGTGCTCAGGTCGCATTATAGAGCTCAGTGATCTTGTTTACTGAATTAGGCCAACTGTAAATATTATGACCCATACAAGGAATTAATCACAACACTCCATGAACCATGCTCTTCACACAAAAGGTAAATAATATAATATTGATGTGGAGTAGGAGATTATTAATTTGTATAACAGTTAAACAAATAAAAAAACCAAAGGGAAACCTGGATGTCATCTTCATTAGTCTGTAGCGCTCAGTGATGGTGGTCAAACTGACTGAGAGCTGCATAATATGAGGACAGAGAGCAGAAGGGGGCGCTGTGACACAACTCTTAGACCACAGTCCTTTATATTAGGCTTCAATCAAGACTGATCTTAACTTCCTTTGTTATTCAGTTGTGCATATGATAAAATAAAACAAAAGAGAGTAAAATATGCATAATTTGTATGAAAAAAACCTCTAAGGGATTTTAAAAGGACCCCACCTAACACTGAAATTAAAAACAGCTGTGTATGCTGACCACCAATTTACAAACGGACATGTATATTTTAAAAAAAAATCTTAAAAAAAGTAAAAGTATTGGCTTCCAAACAAGCAAAAGACCAGGAAAGAAAAATAAAAATTACATAAAAGGTACAATATACTCTTTTGTCTTATCATTATTATAATTTGTATTTATTTTTTTATTGAGTTTACAAAGAGACATATATTTTCTAAAAAAAAAAGGCAATGAATATTAATTTCCAAGCAAGCAATACTAGAGATTTTAAAAAGGCAACAGGAGAAAAATTAATAAAATACAAAATACATTTGTGCATTAAAAAAATAGCACCACCAATACTACTACTACAGCTACATAATAAAATTGATAATAATAATAATTATTATTATTATTGCTATTATTATTATTACAATGCATACTTATTATTATTTACAAACAGACATAAATATCTTAAAAATATCTTTTCAAAAATGGAAAACAAGCAAACAAATAAAATAAAATAAAATAAAATAATATCACAATAATTTTAGTTTTTCCTTTTATTTTATTTTATTTCAATTTATTTTATTTTATTTTAAGTGCCATGATTTGTCTTTGAAAATGATGATTCACAATAAAAATATTTGTAACAATAATTTATACATTCGTCTACCTAATTCAAACATTGCCCCCATTCTTTTCAAAACTGTGCCACAGAAAATTATTTATTTATTTATTTTACCCAATTTTCTCTCTGCTAACACACATTAATCAATAATTCTGTGCTGACTAACTTGCTGTGGAAACATTTGAGCTACATTTTTCAAGTGTTAAAACTTTTTGGCCCATACCTACTGTCAATGATCAAACTTGAAAACTTCTGTAAGGGTTGTTGTACTTTTCATTTTACTTTATTTATGACAGCTTTGCAGATTATAATCTGACATACAAAACATGCTTTCTTCAAAGAATATCTTTAAATTTTATAGTTTTTTAAAATGCCATTAAGTTTGTTACTGTTGAAACTACATTTCTGTAATGTAACATTGTTCTCTGTGGGAATATCTGGTGCCTTTGTTTTAACACTTGTAATGTAGTAACATCTAACCGCCACAAGAGTGTGATCACACCACACAGCAGAACTCCAGAAAACAAGCTCTCGTTTTCCTGGCTCCATGACACACACAAACACACACACAATCCAATCACTTTGTACAGCATGCAACTATTTTACACATAATTCAATAAAGGTGGAGACGTAAGTGAATTTTTGGATGAACCATGTTCGTAGGTTGTGTATGTTTAATCACAAATACACCTGTCCTGACGAGCGGGGGAACATTTCCAAAAACAATAAAGCTTTGCAGTAAATGAGAGCTGACAGGAGAACGTTACCTCCACTTCTGTCTCCATGGAAACTTGCCTCACTGGTCATTCTGTGGATATGGATGATATAGACCGGGGAACACGCAGCTCTCTGTGTATCAATCCACTTCAGCATGCCTCCTCCAGGACTCAATGTCACAACTGACTTCATGAGATGGATTTCACTGAGGGGAAATTAAAGGCCTGTGTGACACTGATGAAAACACATGTTTGAATCCACTAATAACCTTTTTCTTTACAAAGTTGTGAGGAAGATGATTGGACACTTGTGCAGCAGCTGTTTCTCAAACTGTGAGATGTGATCAAATGTAAAGCTGCGTTATCCGAGGCGTGTCGTCACTACCTTTGAGTCTCACTCTCAGTAACTGAGTGGTATGATGCCCTCTAAAGATCTAGAGAATGCACACTTTTCTCCCCCCTCTTTCTTTGCTGTAGTTGCATAGCAACAGAGGAGCTGCTAGCTCCAGTTGTGTTGGTGGTGGGAGCGCGCTGCACAGGGAGGCACTGGCTCGAGATTAAGCCTGTCTCGGCTTCAATTATGAATGGGCTTCCACTGCCACACGGCTCCAAAATGGCACCACTCAGTTTGATAAGGCATCGAGGAACTCTTTGGTACACTTAACTCTTTTACTTCTCTCCCTGAGGGAGGAGCCGAGTTTGACTTTAATCAGAAGTATTGAACTTAAATGATTAGAGGAAGTAAATGAATAATTAACTGGCGGAAGAGGCATGGTTATGATAAGACCCTTGTTGATGGGAATATGTGAGGTTAATGATTGAGGTCAGTCTTGAGAGCAAATTAAAGAGTCTCCAGTCTCACAAAGCTCGCACTCTACCAGCAAATGGGGGTTAGTGTGTGTTGCATGTTGAAGTGGTGAAAAGGAGGAGGGGGGTGTAGAGAGGGTGATATGCTTCCTGTAAGCCTTTGCTATATTTAACTCTGAATTTTGAGAGGAAAAAATTAGGAGTGTAATATTACACATATTAGTGTTGAACCTTTGGGTATGAGGCTTTTGGTTCGGTGCGCATTACAAACTCAACAATATGTTGAACAACACTTTCTCACTCCGACCTCGTCACACATCGACGTTTGGTCATGGACCTTCCACATCCAGATTCGACGTCCAAGGTACTCTGGGTGTGTTGGTTGTTGACATTCTGGGACGCCGTGTCAAGTTCTTCCTGTTACATGCATTGTCTGTTTTCAAAATAAGCGCACTACGTTGATACATCACTGCAACTTGATGCTTTTTTTCCCTTCAACCGCTAATGCACGTGGTTGGGTTTCAGAAAAAAAGAACAGGGTTTGGCTTTATAATCTTACAGGAAGCAAACACCGCTCTCCTCGGTGAAAGTCAGTGTTTGTTGGACCCATCCAACACCACTCCCATCTGACCTGTTAGGACTTTCACCACCTTAACTTTCATTCTTGTCCCGCCGCATTTCCCTGAAGCCACCAAATCACGGTAAACTATAATGGTGACCGGCCACGTATCATGCCGATGTAAACTATCCTATTACATTTAGAAAATAAAATATACAGCTTAAACTGTTTTTAATATGTCCTCAGCACCATTGCGTTCCACGAGGCACGACGGAACAGGCAACATGCTGTCAGTCTCTCCCACCGAGGCCTTGACGAAGTGCACCAGGCTTTGAAGCCAATTTTCGTAGTGGCCAAACAGTGGTACTGCAATTTCTGAGGTCCATTACGTGATGCCCTGTGGCCCAATAATACATTTTCCCATTGACTTACAGTGGGAAATAGACGTACGTAAATAAGTGGATCCATTTTCTGAGCGCCACAACGCCCGCAACTTGACTAGTTATAATATCAGGATTTGATCCATTCAGTCCGATAACAATTCAAAAGCCTAAAGGAGCTGCGAGTTGAAATCATTTTATCCCCAATCAAGTTAGCGGAGGGCTAAACCGGAAGTTAGACGTTTGGCTCAACTGCTGTTAAGTCTATTGCTGGAACCATTTTGGCTTCATGTGCCACTGAACAGCTTTCATATGAATGGAGGGGGCCGTGCCGCCAATGCCGTGTCCAGTTCTCATAACACATCCACGTTCCCACCCCGAAACCAAAACAGTCTACTCCAGTAAGACACACTGGGAGGCAGCTACGCTAAGCTAGCTCATTGCAAGACGGTTAGTAACGCCATTACCAGACCAGAAATAGAAGATCCTCTAATAACCTACAGGTCTGGTGTTTGGAGCCACTTCAGTTTTGCTGTGAATTATGAGGCGATGATGAGAGAGAGCGGTGGATAAAAAACCACCTAGCCAAAAAACAAGGTGCCCTGCACTCTCTGTAGCAGCTAACCCAGGAGCACAGTAACATACATGACCTCTGAGCCAAAGCACGAGCTGCTGCGCTGTGACAGACTCTCTTTAGCAGCCAAATCAGCGGCACAAACAGTCGATAGTTGCACGATGCACACACCCTAAACCAGGGCACAGTAGCCTCTGTGTGGCTATAGCCTCTCGTTCAGCAGCTAACGGCAGCTAACGTTAGCACAAACCCAAAGCAGTGAGCAGTAACTGCTGGTGGGCCGGGTACATTAGCTCAGTGGTTCTCAACTGGTCCAGCTACGGGGTCCAGATTTCTCTTTAGTCATTAGTTCAATATATTTAATATATCCGGTGTTATACTTGTGTTTGGACATGTCATCGAGCTAGTTTGCTGTCTCTGTCAAGTAGCTGTCCATTCGTTATTCACTCTACAGCAGGAAATAGCACTTCAAAATAAAAGCTCTGTGCCAAAAATTCACTGTGCTTCAAAATTGTATTTTTAAAACTTGACACATTCATGAGTCACTTGCGGACTAGTCTGAGTGGGCGGAAGTTCACTGCATAGATCAGCATCTCATTGGGCGGAATGAGCCACCCGCTGAAGTCCCGCCCTACCACCTCCGGTAGCAGTTTTCAACACGTCCTTTACTAACTTTTGCGGTGTTTGATCTTGCGGGGATGTAGCCATTTTTCTGCCATGGTTCGCGTCCTGTAGGCGATATTTTTGTGGGCGTGTTACACCTAAACCTGTTTCCCCCCGGCAATATTTTTGCAAGCGCACTGTTGCTGTGGCACCGCCAAGAACGATTGTGATTGGAAATAAAAAAAGCAGGGGCGCTTTTTTCTCCAATCTTAAAGTGAGCGTCGGCCCAGCCAGACCTTTCTTTTCTTGAGAAAGGTCTGGTGAGCGAGACTACTTGCGGACCCACTTTTGGACCAAGACCCACAAGTTGGGAACCACTATGTTAGCTGCCATAAGACTGAAAGCTACGTTAGCGATGGCCGTTTAGCTTTTGTTTATATGACTGTGACATTTAACAGAGATGTTTAACCATGTATTTATTAGACTGAAAAAGCTCAGAGAGCTCGTGGGACGTAGCGAACTTGCCGCTGACACAGTGAGCAAAAGAAACAGCACTAATACTAATGTCAGTAGTAACATAGTTTTTATATTTTAGGACACAGATGATGAAAAACAGTTTAATGGTCTAACTTTACAGTTCTCTACACAGTTAGCAGTCTGATCACGTTTTCAACAAGTAACCTGTATAGAGTGCTCCAGGGATGACGTTTTCCTGTAGGCCAACACCAAAGTTAGCATCACCCTGGTTCCCTCGTCCAAAAGCCTTTGCCATTTTTCCATTGGATTCTGTATTATTACCAAAAACAAACTCTATGGCAAACAAACATTTATGATATTTACAGGTTTTGTTCAGAAGTGAAAAGCTAACGTTAGGCTAACCTTAACTCTTGTTATGATGATGACCTAATGTCACCTAATTTAGCCACTTGTTAGTAATCGTATTTGTAAGACACATAGAAGCTTCAAAGTTCATGAGTGGGGGATTTACTGATGTATTTTATGTCGTAGAGCAAAACGTGAATGTCTCTTAAGCTTGTGTTATCCACAGACCTAAATTTAGGCATTTCACCAAAAACCAATTGACTTTGGGATGAGGAAACTGGAAGTGCAAAAATGCTAACTCATTTCTGGGTTTGGTACTCATTCTTAGGGCACTCTCATGTGTTTAGAAAGAAATCACTGACTTTGCTTTACCCAGACTTAAACAAACCCACTTCAGCCAGACTGTGATTTCTGCTTTGTACAAAAAAGCCCAAATGATGTTAGCTTCCATACATTTAAAATCTTAAAAAATAAGAATAAGAAATTTCTCTGGCATTTCTACATTAAACTCACCACCTCATGTCTGTACTGTATCCAACCGAACTGTGAATTCTGTGAATCGTCCCACTCCTGGAAGAAACAGTTGCCTACCAGTCAGCTCACGTCCGTCAAAAGGAACAGCCAAACGAATCTTCTGCAACTCGTATTTTTTATTATTGCAACCAACTGGAAGACAATACATCACATAAACATCATTGCAGTTTTTCAGAAAATGGAAAACAAAATAAAACAACATTTATATATTTTTTGCCACGGTATTGGACAACGTTGATATTTACATGTAGTGATGAAATAGGTCTTGAAATCATTCTTTGGCAATATGATTGCACAATAAGGAGAGAAATGAACATTTACTGGAAAAAAAATAAAAAAATAAAAACAACACCCGGGTGCACTCTGCATCACATCTCACAGATCAATAACAGTTTTGCATTTTGACATCTCTAACCTATGGCTTTCCAATATTCAGCTCAGACAGTCACCAGAAATAATGGCAGTATTGTAGATAATTTTGTCAGAGAGAGAAAACAAAACAGAAAATGAAAATGTGCATAAAAACACCAACAAATAAAAAATGGCAACTGTATTTTTTTTCATCGTATGTTTGGCAGGTTTGAAACGAACACTTGTTTTTGGGGCTTTTCAGGCAGTGACATATATTTTCTTTGCTTTAAAATGTCCACGGTATATTTGATGTGTTTTTCCAGGACTCGCAGGTCAGGAGTTCATCTTTCCTGCATGTCGCTGAGTGAGTCAGAGGAAAAAAGGTGGTTGCTAAAGCAACACATTCTCCCCTCGACATGCCTCTTGCCAGCTGAACACGTATTAGTCACCACAACAGTGGATTGTTGCTGCAAATACAGCAGAGTGCTTGACCTGGGCCGCGGGAGCACTCAGACAGATATCAGACGAGAGACGGATGGCACACAACAAGAACACTGACAGTGTCTCCTTTTAGCCTTTTTTATGTAGGCATGGATACCATACAAAATGCAAAGCCAGTGATGCATGCTACAGGTGGCAGAGGACTGTACCAGTGGATGGGACATGCATTTGTTTGCCTGCTTGGCTCGCTGACAATCACTCCATTGAGCTTAAACACAAAAAAACTCGTCTGACTGCTGCTACAACTGACACTTCCTCCTGCAAAGCTGCTTTTTATATGTACTGCATCTCCGCAGCTGTGGGGAAATTAATACTTTAATGCATTCCTGCTTCAGCAAAGCATGCTGTATAATGGCAGTGCAGTGTTTATATCACTTCTGATGCAAAAATGTCAAATGCTGCTCTTCAATCAGGTCAGTGGCTCCGTTTACATGCACACTAATATTCCACAGTTTTTCCCAATATGACAATATTCAGAATTTGATAGGGGCCATGTAAACAGCATATTCTTTAAGGTTTTCAGAATTTAGCATTTTCCAATTAAGACGTGGGATATGCTGGTATATTTGGGCTGTTTAATACGAATATTTGACGATTCTTTCTTTTCTTTTCCACATAAAGTTTTTAAGTTTGAACAGGGCTCAGCAGGAAATCAGGTAAACAAGCTAACAGCGCTGACGACAGATTGGTAATGTGCAACATTTTTTGCCGAAAAGCCAGCAACTGTGTCGTATTAAGTATCTGTGAGCTGTAAATTTACAGCTGCTGCTGCATTGTGTCCACAGCTGTCTGTACCAAAGAAAAGCATGAAAGTGAAGAGCGCTCACTCCACAGCAAAAATCTGGAGACTAAAACGTCCTGAGAGCACACGGACCAGAAAAACAAAACCCAGATTGCTTGACTTGAAGCAATCTCAGTCGACTGACTGTGTCTCCGACTGATGATTTGAATTTCCCGCTTTAAGAGGCAGCCCTAGCCTGTATCATTCAGGTTGTAGGAGCATTCTTTGGACATGTATCCAGTGCATCCAGAACATGCGTCTCAGTTGGGCTTTTTACCACAGTTTGCATCCGATGGCTTCTTGCCTGTTAGTTGTACACAAACCAACTTGCCAACAGTTTGCAAGGCTGGTGTAAAGATACACGCCTGGTAAGACCATCCTGATGATGTGAGCTCAACATCCTGTTTCGCGCCAAATGCAGTCAGAAGAACGGCGAAAACGTCTTTTTGTCCAAGAAACTCTCCGATTGCATCCTCTTGTTCTCTTTCTGCAATAACGTCACTTATTGCTGTGTTTACTTTACTTGCTGTTCTGCAAGCTGTGGCCTGCATTTTACATCATGAACTACAACATAGTCTCTGACTGGCTGCTTACGTTGTCAACTACAGTTTGAATCTCTAAGTGGCCCTGATTGGACTTTAATTTCCGGAGAGTGTTTGGAGCAACAGCGAGTCCAGACTGATACAGAGAGAGAGACAGAATGTTGAGCTCACATCATCAGGATGGTCTGGATGCATGCCCAAAATTCAAACCCACATTTCTGGTCGGAAGAAGAAACACAGCTTCTTTTAAATATTATGACAGACCTGGAAATCAACAGTTTTTTGGATTCGTGCAAATATCAAAACACTGATATGGAGATAGATTTGTCTTGGTATTATTTGTGTGAGGAGATCAACAATTTCTGCGTAAATGTGTAAATAAAAACTATAAAACAATGTACACAAATACAAAAAAGATTTTTATATTACACAGATCTGCACATACACAAATTCCAAAACTAAAAAAAAAAGACTCAGTTTGCGTAAAATTAAGATTCACAAATATCTGTTTTTGAACGTTATAAATGTTAGGAAGATAATCACAAATGCTTTTCATGTATTTGTAAATTAATTAAACGTATTCAAAGATTTTTTTTAAACTGTTAAATGTGTGCATTTGCAGATCTATTTTATTTTTGGCAAAATATTTTTTGAGTTCACACATCTTTTTTTGTATTTGTGGAAGGTATTTTATTTTGTGATCTATTCACACAAATAATGAGACAAGTTAATCTCCACACATTGACCTTTTCAAGAAGGTGTTACAGGAATGACAGACGGAGGCTGTGTTTGCACGGTGTAACAGGTGCGCTGCCAGAAAGAAAGTAAAATAACAGACATTTCACTTTTCTAGATTTTGAAGTGATAAACAAGTAAGGGCAGGGTAATGGGAGTATGCACAGCTGCATGTGAACAGGAATATTGGTGGAATATCTATTATGTTTTTCACCATGTTAACAGCTCAGTGGGCGTATTGTCATTTTTGGAATAAGGGAAAAAGTGGAATATTTTGTGCATGTAAACGTAGTCAGTGTTTTCACGATTCACATGCACCTTGCAGAGTGGCGAAATATATTCAACAAACCATCTTATCTGTGGACTGGGTTCTTGAGATAAATATGCAAGCTTGACATCTTCATCCTTTAATCAAAGGGTTAACAATACTGTATGTAAATGAAAAGAAAATCTGTCTTTTATGCCGTCTCCTACATTCCTCTTTCTTTTCAACTTCTTTGTAGCCTTTTTGGAGATATGAGGTTCTTTCAGGACACCTACAAAGTTTCCCCGTCTGATCCAAACACGTACACAGATGGAAAATAAGGACACGTACATTTACACACAGGCGAGAGGAAAACACAAAGAAAAGAAACAATACTGTTATAAATAAAGACGTTCTGTCCAAACATGTCAGAGACATGACAACAGAGGTACTGAGGGCAGGCAGGCAGGCAGGCACAATGTTAAAGGGTGTGTGTTCCTTGGGCACACAAACTCACACACTCTACAGATGTGTTCTGAAATAACACTGGGGTTAACATTGAACACCTAAAAACCACTGTACAGGCAGAAGAAGAAGGAAGCCCACCCCTAAGAGGTGATTCAGCTGGCCTACGTAGCCTGAACCTGAAGCCCAGAGGGCCTCTTAAAAATTGCAGAGTGATCTCCCCCCACGCTCCTCCCTGAAGACGTGTCTTTGAAAGCCCGCTCAGAAAAAAACAAAACAAACAAAACAAAACAAAAAAAGGAACCCAAAAGATTCAAAGGAACAACAACAACAAAAATCCAATATAATCACGGGTATAAGAATTGGCGGCAAAACTTTTTTTCTTTCCTCTAGGATCAAGGTTTATATGAAAATAAGTCATGCTTCATGCTAAATACATCGTTTATCTTACATGATCTTTGAATAAAAAAGATTTGCTTTTTATCTTATTTACAAGCACCCATGCAATATAACTGAGAAAGTCCTGCAGGTCAAATTGCTTCAATTAAGAAAGGAAAAAAATAAAATATTTTCTAACCTTTTTACAGAGTTGTCCACACGGGACAAATTGCTTATATCTTTATGAAGGTAGAGTGAGGGTAAACAGACACAAACAGAAATCTAAACCCACAGTTCATGTATATAGTTCTTTGACACTGTCAAAATGAAGAGGAAGGTGTGGCGGCTACTGGTAGCGACCATATTATCTATACCAGGTGTCTACGTCTATGGACAGAAGTACTGGGGAGGTTTAAGGGACGTTTACATTATGCAACAACAACAACAAAATGAAGGAGATATTGCCTCAGACCCGGCACACTATCCATCTCTATGGTGATAAACATGACCTTTTTTTTTATTTTAAAATATCTATCTTAAATACTATGAGTGCTCTTGAAATAAACCATGTCTTTACCCATGATGCTTCTATTATAAGTGGTGTTAAATAATCTTAAGTGCATGAATATATATCACATTGGGTTTTACAATTATTTTCGGTCACCCCCCCCCCCTCCCCCTCCCCCGCTCACTATGCCTTCTTGTGGTTTTTTTTTGTGTGTGTGTGTGTGTGTTTTTTTGTCAGCTGTCGTATCGGCTACATGAAGCAACCTGGTCGCTTATCTTTGGCACAGTCTCACATTTGTGCTCGTGGATGTCGGAGAGTGACGCTTTAGCGTTTAGAGCGGCGGCCGCGAGAGCTCTAAGTCTTGTTAAACAGGCTCTGCCGTCTTTGCTGGCATCACTGCGAGATTGCTACAGATTCACATAGAAACAAACAGGTAAGACAAACAGCCATCTTCTTCTGTGTTTATGTACTGTAACGCTCCTCAATGTGATTCCGTTTTGTCGTGTCGTCCAAATTAGTGACAAAACATGCTCGTTTTTTTTTTCTTTTTTTTTTTGTGTATGGCTTTCATCCCCTTTTAAACAACAAAAACAACAAAGACACATGAGAGATACCCATTGATGTTAGTGTTGCTGAACATGTAGGAAAACATAGATTTTTGATATTGCCACAAATAAGTAGGATTCACCTAATGCCCTGCAGATAGATAGAGGGAGATGAGAAGTGTCCGTTGAGACTAATGCTGTAGTAACGTTACCTGTTGACCTATTTGTGTGTACGTGTCTGTGTGTGTTCATGTGTGTGAGCTGTATGTGTTTGTCATGTACTTGTTCTATGTGTTAGTTTCTCAGGGCCTCTTTCTGCTCCTTCTGGCCCTTGGCGGTGCGGTTTGTGATGTTGTTGAGGCAGGCTCTGACCCCCGCCAGGTGGAGCAGCGACCCCGCCGCCTCCTTCATCTCCTCGTCGTCGCTCTCCGGCGGCTTCTCCACCGCCGCCGCGCGCCGCTTCTTCAGCGGCAGCGTGTCGCTAATGCCCCTCGCTCGGTTTTTGGTCCAGGGCAAGCTGCTCCCTGCCAGAGTCCCAGCTCCCGGCCCCGAGCTACGTCTCTGTCCGCGCAGGGGCTGCTGGGAAATGTAGGTAGCGGCGGCGGTGGCGGTGATGTGAGAATCCAGAGGGATCTCCCGGGGCTCAGGCTTGACGTCTGATTGGATCTCCACGGCGATGATGTCGTCGTCGTCCAGAGGGGAGGAAGGGGTGCCGGCCTGGGAGGAGCACAGCCTGCTGGGGGATTTGGCGGTGCTGTAAGTGTGGTCGTCCTGGAGGTCCTCGCTGCAGAGCGGAGGAGAGTAGCGGGAAGGGCTGTCCTGTCCTCGGCTTAGATAATCTCCCAGGGATGATCTGTACGAAACAAGGACACAGAGCGAGACAGAATATTGTTACTGGTGCTGTCACACTGCCAGCCAGGTGGCCCGCCTGTGTGCGCCTCACTCCACTGAAGCCGCTCCAGTTTGCTCTGCATTTGGCTGTGGAGCAAAAAGAATTCACGTGATAATCTATCAACCTCAAATATCCCCCCAGGGCCTCATGTGCATATTTCTCAGGTCAGATTAAAAGCTTGTATCTCCAAAAAAAGAGTCAGCCTTTCCTTTCAAAGTGAGCAGACTCATTTTCAGATTGCCACCTTTGCATTTTTCAAATGACACAGTGCATTCTGAGCAGCTCTCACACTCCCTAAGGTTGTGAAACTTGCTCAGCACATAAAGGACCTTGCAAGCTTTAAAGTCAGAACGCCACAGCGAAGCCATTTAACCACTGTCCACTATACATCAGCACCGACATTATACTGCAACACATATTTTGCTCTATTAGTCAGAAGACACTTTTCTCTGTAAGGCATTAAAGGACAGGGGTGCATTCTGACAACCAATAAATCAAAAGGAGCTTCGGCGGCGTGCCCTGTCCCCCGGACATTTTCTCCCCTCAGAACGAGAGGGTTAGCATATTATTAATATCTTATAAGAAAAACATGCACCCCTTACAGTGATCAAATATTCACTGCATACCTTTAGTGAGACTTTGGAGATGTTTAATTCATTATGCGGCGCAGGCCATCATACTCTTACGCTCCTATGATGGATGTGCATGTCCATGCATGCTCCGAATGTTCTTTGAATCATGAGGCCTCTCCCTCTAATAAACCTGTTTGTGTGTGTGTGTGTGTGTGTGTGTGTGTGTGTGAGAGAGACCGTTATATAAACACACCTGGATAAAATGTTCTGAGCAGCAGGGAGCGTGTGAATGCCTCTGACTGTTGAACACAATAAAGATGTAATTATGTAAACTATCAGTGGAAAATTTCGGTCTGTTCTGCATGTGTGTGTGTCTGAAGGCTACTGTATGTGTGTCTGTGGGTGTGTCTGTGTGTCTGTGAGGGAATATGTTTGGGAAAACCCTCACTGTCATTAATTATATGCTTAAAGGGACAGTTCACCCCAAAATCAAATATTTTCCCTCTTACCTGTAGAGCTGTTTATCAGCCTTGTATTGGTCTCTCCAACATGATTGAACTAGATGGCACTCAGCTTGTGGTGCACAAAGCACCAACAAAATAAATTTGAAAAACTCGACATCAATGTCTCTTTGCAGAAATCATGAGCAGGTTACTCAAGATAATCCACAGACCTTGTTGTGAGCAGTTTCATGTAGGAACAACTTACTTTTCATTGCTCAGAAAGAAGTGTGCATCTTTTCATGGACGACAACAAATAGTAACAATAAGAGCTCGTACACATGTCGCATTTTTTGCACCCTTGAATCCAAATGTTTAAATGTAGACACACGAACAGTGCACTAAAGACTGAGTGGAATGCCGCTGCAGCATGCAAATATTTCCAAGCAACGGTTGCCCCCTGAATTCAACTTTTGGAGAGCAGCAATGCGCACCACTTCATGTGACGAGGAATAACCAATCACAGCTAGCAAATTTCTTTCAATTCTTCCATAAATATCACTCTGTGTTGGGTCCAGGGTTTGAATCCTGCTGGGGTTGACGTCAGCGAAGGCATGCGGTCGCAAGACGTTCCCACCGTCGAATCATACGGGGTCCGATCCCTTAAGGAGGCTTCAGGATAAGAAGTAACTCCAGAATCTGAGCCAAGTCCTCTGCATCTCAAGCCCGTTGAAGACGAGAGGTTCCAGACGTAAAAAGCAGATTTTAAAGATGCAACACTTGTCCCGGTCCTAAACCTGCTTTCGTACTGCTGCCCTGACAACCGCTTACGTGCAAGAGCATTGCCCAAAAAGAAATGCATTACTAAAAGCAGCTGCTGCCACTACAGTCCAGGGCTGCAATCACAGGCAGGCGCTTTAGTGAACGTCACTGGAGGAAATGCAAGCAAACTTGGCGGCATGTAAATCAGGGGTCCTCAATGTTTTTAAGGTACTCAGCAACCATTCACCTGCACTCACACACTGATGGAACAGCCATCGGGAACAATTTGAGGTTCAGTAGCTTGCCTAAGGATACTTTGACATGTGGACTGGAGAAGCTGGGGATTGAACCGCAGATCTTCCATTTAGCGCAGCGATATAAACGCCCCCTGCTAGCTCACCTGAGCTAGCAAATGTTACAGCTTACGTGAGGAGGACGCCATTAATTTTAACATCTTGTGCTGTCATGACCACGTGCCTCTCTTTCATGAGTAGATGCACACTTCCCTCTGCGCAGTGATACGGTTAGCAGGTGTAGTTTGACAGAAAGAAAATAGTTCCTACATGAAACTGCTCACAACAAGGTCTGTGGATTATCTTGAGTAACCAGGTCATGATTTCTGGAAAGAGATATTGATGTTAAGTTTTTCAAATGTGTTTTTTTTGGCGCTTTGAGCACCACAAGCCGAGTGCCATCTAGCTCCATTATACTGGAGAGAATGCAGACATCTCTACGGCTGATATCTCCAACATTCGGCAACTCACACCAAAACAATCTAGACTGATGAACAGCACTACAGGTAAGAGGAGAAAGATGTGTTTTTGATTTTGGGGTGAACTGTCCCTTTAAGGTCAACAGGAGCAAAGTTTACCCACCGTATGGCCGAGGTTCTACTCCCCACAGGGCTTACAGGTAGGGGTCTTATCACAGGGAAAAGTGCCTGGCTCCTGACGCGGGCGCCATTTTGGATCACACCACGAGGAACTGAAAGAGAAAGAAAGCAGCAGACGTTAAAAACACACACGCCACATCACTCACATGCAACACACAAATCAGCATCAAAGCAGGAAGGAAACACACTCAAAAAAACCTGATCGGACCTGGATAAGACCCCGGAGCAGCTCGATGAGCATTCACTGACCGTCTGAGGAGGCCAACAGGGCAATATTGATGAGCAAGGCAAGGTTAAATGGAGCGGGAAAGCGTCATAAATGAGTTAAGGCCGCTGCGAATCATTCAATTACCAACGACCGCTGGGCTCGGCTAAATCCAGCCTGTCTGACGCTGTGGGCTGAACAGCAGGCGGCTCAAAGTTAAAGGGAGGCACATCACATCTTAAACTGTGTGAGTAATGACACATTTATCTCTTTAAAACTTACTTCAAACTCATTAAATGTACTTTTTAAAGCAAGCCTCGCACAGAACTCCAAATTAATGGCTCAAATAAGGCTTTAGAAAATGTTTAGACATTTATTAGAAGTATTTTAGTATGACTCCAGATATTTTTTCTGCCCTTAAAGTGTACATTATTTTCTCGATTAATTGTCGAAGCGTAGCAAGATAGCATATTTAAACTGTTTGTTTAGTGATGAGCAAGATGGCGCCCACTGTGGCAGATGTTTTTTCTTGTTACTGACACTGTATATTTGTATATTGTACAGTGCTTTTTTGGATACATTCTTTATATTATATTCTTTTTTTAGTCTGTATCTCTTGCGATATCTTTTATCTTTTACTTTAATATTTTCTTAAGTTCTTGTATTCACATATTTCACTTTTTATACCTCATTAAAACAGCAAACGAAGAATTTGATGGTAAATGGAAACATGTTTTTTTATTATGCACATGACAATAAACACCTTGACTTTACTTTTCCAGAACACGACTCCAAAACCCCAAAATATTAAGTTAGATTTCGGAGAATCTGGAACATTTTGTGCATAAAAAATGACTTCAACTGTTAATGAATCACTAAAACGACTACGGGCGATTAATTTTCTGTCAAATAATTGTTTAAGCTTTGCTTAGATACATCATTTCCCTGCACCTCTACCAGTGACACATTGACTTGAAGGTGAACTAAAAATTAATTAGTCGCACACACATCTGTATCAATCACGTCCCACAGTTCACTGTGAGTGTCAGAGTTTAAGGAATGCTCAGTTAACTTCCAGTCCTGAAGAACTGCATATAAACTGAGTAGTCAAAGTTCTTAGGAGCGCAGTGGGCTCCATCTTTGTTCTCTATTTTTTAAATTGTAAATCACTTCGTAATTAATTTGAGCTTTTATATCTATTTATCTCTTTTATTGTAAATGTGTATCCTTTATTATGTTTTATATTTTATTGCTCTATAAAGCACTCTGAATTGCCCAGGTGTATAAACTGCACTATACAAATAAAGCTGCCTCGCCTCAGTCATTAAGTGGAAGTTTTGAATAGGGACAGGAATCAAGAACCGGTTCCTAACTGTCTGATCCGTCAGAGTCATATTCCTCTGAGCTTATTGGTTCCTTTTATTCATACCGACATATGTCATGTGTCTATGCTGCTGGAAAGTTGGAACAAGAAGTCATGGTGGAGAGAAAGAAACAACAAAGTGGGGGCTTCATTTCACAAAGACATGAAAATAGTGCTGCTTGTGATGACGTCATAAACAGATCATATAAAGTCAGGGTGGAAACAGCAGCAATATCCTGAAACATTTTTCTACTAGAGATGTTCCGGTATCACTGTTTTCTTTCATGTGCAGATTCTGATACCTGAACATGCACATCAGAAAGTACCGATACAACACCATTATATTAAAAATAAATAAATGAATTACCAGTGGCATACTATTAACCCTGTATGGATATGAAATGATTGCAATCGCTATTTGACATGGCTCGAGTTAACCCTCTGTCAAACTTTAACAAACACATACAGAAGATGAATGCAATCATGCTTTCCTTTAACTTAAAAGTCATAAAAACTTATTTTTTTAATCTGTCATCCAAAAAAAATCATTATGCACAGAAACCTTGCGCACTGATTCCTGTTGAAAGTGAGCTAGTTGAGTTATGAAATGATTCTGTGCGCCCCGTTCCTCAGACTTGTCACCGCTGCGTCCCACTGGCACATTTCAGTGTGCAAGGTTTCTGTGCGTAACATTTTTTTTTTTCGGATTAAGAAAGTGCATCTGAAAAAATGGACCCAGTGTGCAAAGCTTTGATCCTTGGTCCAACAGCTCTCTGAAGGCTCTGGGAGATGCAGAAAACACAGAAAATCACACCTGTTCCATAATTTTTAAGACAGACGAAAGATTTCCAAGAAAACTGACAATTTTTCCAGGCGAAATTACTTTAAAGTTTATGAATAAATTCCGTGACATTGGATCAGCACATAGACTTGTGAACTCACCAATACCTGCTTCATCGTTTTTATCAATACCGGAGGCATTTCTGGAACAACTCTACTTTCCATGCAGTTTAAATTCCAGGAACACCATGTAGGGCTGCAACTAAAGCTTTACTTTCATTATTGATTAACCTGCAGAGTCCAAAGTGACGTCTACAAATTGCTTTTTTGGTCAAACCAACAATCCAAAACCCAAACACTCTTCATTTACTATGATAAATAACAAATAAAAACAATCAATTCTCACATTTTTTATCCAATTTTCACTTTAAAAAATGACTCAAACAATTAATTGATCATCAAAATATTATTTGATTTATTTTCTCTCTAAAGACTGATTGATTTATCGACTAACTGTCACAGTTATTTGACACTCTGTTATAATAATGTCAGCAACATGCAGGCAGGCCGAGCAGATTTCTTTCTTTGATTAAATGAAAGCGAATACTGTAAAAATATTCTCTCATTTCATCCACAATGAGTTCAGACTCAGAGATATTAAAACAACCTGTGTGAGCCTTCTTTTTTCCAAAACACAAAACTGATCAAGAATCAATAGGAATCAATAATGGCACTGGTATCAATAAAATCTTGTCAGTTCCCTAGTTTGTAACAATCAAGGCTCTTCCTGTCTTTGTCCATCTGGTCATCAGTATCCAGGCAGAACAGGCTCAGTCAAGGAGGAGAGAGGAGAAGGTGGCCCGATGGCCGCGCTCACCAATTGTCAAGGAAACTGGAGAATCTACCAGAAGGACGACGCCGCAGCACTCCATCGAAGCGCCATTTCACTCCACTGAATAAACAGGCATATGGCGACCCACCTGGAGTTTACCAAATAGTGCTTCTTCCTCTGATCTAATGAGACTGAAATTGAATTCTGGGGTCTGAAAGCCAAACGTTTCAACTGGCAAAAACCAGGCACTGCTTATCACCTGACTATCACCTGGTGTCACTACACCGTGTTGGCAGCACCACACAGACGGAGCCAAATAACAAACAGGCCCCTCAAAGACAACAGTTCACCTTCCAGCAACACAACAGCCTGAAGCACACATCCAGGATAATGGACTGGCTTTGGAACAAATCCCTGGATGTCCTCGAGTGGCCCACCCAAAGCCTGGACTGGAAGCCATTTGAGAATCTGCGGGGACACCTGAAGATCACGGTTTACCAACGCTCCTAATCCAAACTGACAGCTGGTAGACGCCAAGACTTAAAGCTGGAGTCAGTCAATGCATCGTCTGCATCCTGCAGTGACACTGCAGTTTATGATCTCTTATAGAGCTGCATCTAAGGGGGAGTTTTTTTATAGTTTATTTGATTTCTTGTCCTGAATTAGACGAGAAGATCAATACCACTCCCACCACTGTGTGTAATGGTAAACATGAAGCTAGGGCTAGCAGCCTGTTAGCTTAGCTTAGCATAAAGACTGAAAAAAGGGGGCACAACACGTCATTTTTATAATTTTTTTGAACAGATTAAACAAGTGAAATTTAATGTATGACTTAATTTGCTCTTCTAGGATGCCAAATTTAATCTTTGGACAGTCAGTCTCGCTGTTTGCCCTCGTTTCCAGTCTTTATTCGAAGCTAAGCTAACAGGCTACGAGCTGTAGCCTCATATTTTCTGGTTGCTGCCGCCTTTTATCAAATCAAATATTTATTTATTTCTTGCACCGCACTGTACCTTTTATTTTTGTATTTTATCTGATCGTCTTATTCTACCTTAGATTGGTTTTTAATTGTATTTAAATATCTTTTATAATGTGTTTTTTTTTTTACTTTGTCTTGATGTATTTTAAGTTTTATGCAGAGCACTCTGAATTGACTTGCTGAAATGTTCTTCATAAATAAACTTGCCTGTCAGATATGACAAGAGTGGTATCTATCATCTTATCTAACTTAGCAAGTGAGTGAATAATAGTATTTCCCAAAATGCTGAATGTATACATTTTTACATTTCTAAATATGTGTTTGTCACTCTACCATGATGAAGTAGGTTTACCTGGGGAAAAAATAACTTTAAGAATCACTTCGGTTTGTATGTAATTAGCTCCCCCGCCATTATATCCATTCGACATTTTGATTCAAGGCTGTAGGTTTTGTTTTAACATTAAAGGGGACACATATAAAACTGAGGCTTTGGGGTTCTCTGCCTGAAAACTTGAGCATTTAACTTCTAATTTCCTGCATTCTGGTGAATTTTTATGCATCAAATGTTACCTTTTCTGCATCAGTTTGTTGTCGAAGTGTCTTTAATCTTGTCAAAATAGCAGATAGCAGAGGACCCCTAAAATCTGTGCCTATGAGACTAGATTTCATCTTAGATTTTGGATATTGTAATACTGCAAGCATTGTCTTTTATGGTTTTACAGTAAAATGATGTAATTTTCTGAAGACTAGCTAGCTCTATTATTTTCCTTTGCCCACCAGCACCAGTAGTCCACCCTATAATACTGTCATCATATCAACAAGTATTTAGATAGATGCACTCATTATGAATTTCTGGGCCGGTACTGATGCCAATTTTTAAAATGACAATTTGGTTGATAGCCCATACTTGAGTTTTTTTTGCTGATTTGATTT